TCACATACTGGGTCAGGAACAGCTCTGCCTCCCAGGAGGACACAGATATCACAAGCAGATTAAATGACAAGCCACCACCTTGGTGGTCTTTTAGTGAGGAAGTGTGGCCAGGCTCTGATCAAACAAGGGAGAGGCCTCCTGCATCAGCCTGAGTGGAAACACTGCACAGGAGACAGCTGACCAAGCGCCAGAGACTTTGCTCAGGGGCAGAACTGACTTGGCTTTTTATTGCTGCTCGTTTCCAATGAGAATTTCTCATAGGACCACCCAGATTTGGCCAGAGCCACTTAGAATGCCAAGTCCCTTCCTGGAGAATAGGTCTTTAATTTCTACTGTAATGAGCCAGACATTGACTCCTCATCCCACGTCCTTAAATGCAAATACAGAGCTCACTTGGAGGTAGATAGCAGTAGGCGCAAATTAGCCCATCCAATGTACAGTCTCTGATTGAGACCAATTACTTAACCCAGCCCCACTTCATTTCCAGTGGAAAACCTATCACTAATGTCTTGGCTGCAGCCAGGGACTGATGAGGCAATCAGGAGGAAAACAGATATAATAGACACGGGATCCCACAAAGGGTAGGAAAGGAAGTGGCGTGGCAATGGGCGGGATATGCTCATTCACTGTCTACAGACTGTGCCAGATACTGTGTTGGGTGTTTTTTAGGCTTTGCACTGAGAAATTAGAATATTGTAACACACACACACACACATGTATACACATACACACACACACAGGGAAAGAGAGAGAGAGAGAGAGAGAGAGAGAGAGAGAGAGAGAGAGAGAGAGCAAACCAGCCACACAAGTGGACCCTTACGTAAAGCTGGTGTGCTTCTGCAAAGATGTGTATTTGCTGTGGCCATCAGGAGATTGCCACATCCAACTTGAAGTTGTCATTCTGAGTTTTTCCCAGTTTTAAACCCTTCTGGTGCTGTTGGAACCCAGGCAGAGATGGGAATAGAACCCACACTCTCTTTCTTTCAGGCCTCCTTGTATTTGGAATCATTAGTTCAGCTCTTGCTGGTAGCATCTGCCCTCCAGGGAGACTCACACTCAGTCCAAGGTATCTAGGTGTGGACTTCTCACATTCTACCTTCCTCTGATGGTTTCTTCATCAGACCTGAGCTTTCTGGCCTCTTCCCTGTCCTGAGTACTTGAAGAAAATCTCCTGTGTATATAAATGAGGAAAAATAGAGAGAGAATGGGTTTCACTATTTCAACAAGGCAGAAATAGTTGTTCAAGGTGCCCAGTTGTGAACAGATGCCCTCATTTGGTGTTTCATCTTGACCCATTAGGAACACATTATTTTATCTGTTTTACAAACAACAATGCTGAGGCTAGGAGATAGTACTGGTTAGTGGCACTTTCTGACCTAATGCTGCTTTCTTTCTACCCTCAGGGAACTGTTTCCTTTGATATTAGGTTTGCCGAGTCTGGTCTCCTATGTGATTGTACAAACTGCAGGTCCAGTACGGGAACTGTGGAGAACTTCTGAAAGCGTACCCTAGAAAGTGCAAGCCCAGATGCCACGGTAGTGCACGAGCCAGCATGGGGCCATAACTCACAGGCTGATTTCTACAGTGAAGAGTGTTTCTACATGACAGGCGGCAATGCATTTTCAAAATGAATTATCATCTTACTGTTGCTTCTGCATAGCAGTTTGCAATGATCACTGACAGCAAGATGCTATAATTAAGGTGAAATTTGAATATGCAAACCTAACAGGTTTTGCTGAGGGTTTTTTTTTTGGTTGTTATTGTTTTTTGCTTTTTTCCCCATTTATCTTAGAAAATTTTGGCTGGAGCAAATGGGTGTCACCACCCCAGTGTTCCACACACACTCTCTTATAGAGGTATAGCACAATTCCCTTGACCTCCTTCAGCGCTCTTCTTTGAGGTATGGTCTCTTTATGTATCCAAGGCTGACTTTGGACTTCTAATCTTCTTGATTCAGCTTCTTGAGTACTGGGATTATAGGAATTTACCACCATATACAGCCATATCTATCATTTTATTTCATCTGCATTTGTTTTGTATTGACTCCTTTGTCCCTAGAAATGATATTCATTTCTGCCAATGCATAAGAGGTGGGACTCTTGACTTGGTGCTAGAGGATCTAGCCTCAGCCTGACGTGCCACTTTGTAGTTGTACAACTAAATCCAAACAGTCTCAGTTCAGTAATGGAAAAGATTATACACCCATGACTCAGACTTATTCTATGAGGGATTGTAGCCAATCTGTTTACCCCCTCCAAGTTTTGGTGTCTTCATCATAGATTGAATTAATAGTAATCAGTATTGCATCAGTAGTCTTGGCATTGGAAGATTTTTGTGAGGATTGTGCTTCTGAGAGGTGGCAGGCAAAGAGCATGTCGTCCATAGCTCTGACTTCCAGAAGCTTTCAAAATCATTTTGAGGGAGTTGGCAAGATGGCTCACTGTGTAAAAGAGTTTGCTGTAAAAGGCCTGAATTGACTCCTCAGGATCCATGGTGGAAAGAGAGAACCAAAGTTGTTCCTTGATCTCTACACATGTGCTCATGTTCACACACACACACACGCACATGCACACGCACACGCACACTGAAATGATGAAGAAAATTGTTTTGAAGATACAAATGATAACTGCAAGCACTATGAAAGCCATCTATTTTAATGGCTCCCTTGATTAGCCATGGATCAATAGCTCTTGTTGAAGATCCAATACTGAGTGACATGAGAGATTATAGGAAAGAATCAGGAACTGAATTTACACTAATGTAAGGCTCACTTTCCAGAGAGCCTCCACACTCGAGGAAACAATAGGAGAAAAACTAAAAGTGCTGTTGCCATGTATATAATTATGGTAACAAGGCAATAACCTCTATTTGGAGCCGTATGACAAATATCTCCACTGGACCGGGCTTTGAGAAGGCACCAGGCAGAAGATGAGGGTGGTGACTAACGATGACTCTGATGGAAGAGTCAAGATGAGCAAAGTCACCACTGTGATAAAGTGGGAGGAAGGCAAGGGTTATACTGAGGGGACAATAATATCATTGAAGATGAACTCAGCCATGGAATGGAAGGAAGAGAAATGAGGCCCACCAGGAGTCAGTGGAGAGTTTCAGAGTCTATGTGAGGGAGAGGCTGGAATGGTTTACAGCAGTGAAGACAAAGCAAGAAGGAGGGAACACTACAGAGAAAAGCAATATACTTTAAATGACAATGTTGAGAATGTTGGGATAGAGGTGACTAAAGGCCAACTAGGTGTCTGAGGTTTGAGGTAAGGAGAATAGTCACTAGAGAAACTTCAGGAGGGAGAGGGTTTAAAAAGAACATGCTGTCATCATACATATAAAAAGAAGAGAGACCCAGAAGTTGAGGGAAGAAGAAGGCAGGCCAGACTCTTGTGGTACCTCACAGGTATTATTGACACTTCGGTTACTTAAATGTAGCTCTGTAGTGGGGACCTTTGTGCATTGTTGATGACACTTTGGTTAGTCATGTTTCTCTGTAGTAGGGACCTCTGTGCATTGTTGGATATTTAGCAACAGCCTTGCCTCTACCTACTGGATGCCAGTAGCTCATCCCTATGCCATGGGGCAATCACAAGCATTCTTGGGCATTTCCAAGTAGCCTTTGGAGGGTAATGTCACCCCTACTTGAGAAGACAGTGCCAAGGGAGGAATGTTCCCCATGAAGAAATCTATGGGAATGGTTGTAGTCCCTGAGTTCCTGTCCCAGATAGGAACTGATGTCTGAGATAGGAACTTTGTCGTACATTGGATGTCAGGACTTAGGAGAAAGGTGAGGTCCAGATATCCTCTCCTGAGCAGTTCAAGGGTGTCCAGACGTAACATCCCCATCTCTGTATCTGCAGTCACAGTGTAGAAAAGGCCAACTTGGTTTCTTGTAGGAAAAGAAGGAAAGAAAGTTTTCAGATGATATATATACAGGGTAAAGCTGAGGCGAAGAGGACCTAGGATTCAAAACTGGAGAGACGTGGCAAGCAGAGAGACAGTCTTAGGATCCTTCCAGCATTCAGGTCTGGCGCTCACATCTGCCAAGTTTTGCCTACACATCTGAGGAGAGGAAAGGAGCTGCTACTTGATGCCTTTTTGAAGTTTCCACATATGAATCAGAAATGTGTTTCCCCATTGAGATCAGTAATGATGCAACTGGCTAATCCTACCCAGGCAAAGCCACACCTCTCCAAACATAGCAAGGCAGCTGTACATCCTTGAGAGTTCACTGATCTGAGCTCTCACTTCATTCATGGCAATATGGGCTTAGTGATTTTCATGTGGCAGACTTCTTGATTGAAGATTAAATACAAAGAGACATGAAGTACTTATCTCGTGGTAGTATTTAATGGCTTTTGGCTATTTGCTCATCTATGTTCTGTCCACCTCTATTTACATGATTTACTTTATGTCTGGAAGAGTCGGGGATTATATCCAGGTATGGATCTTCAGTGCAGATGTGTTGGCTATGATTGGCATAATAATTCCTGAGAGAGTTTCTGAAGATGTACATTTAAGACATCTGGTCCCCTTGAGACATAAATAGGATGGTTCTTAATGATACTCAGTGTTTGCATTGAAAGTAGAAAGTCCAGTGAATCACTTGCATCCTCAGGCTCCAGATGTTTGGTGGTCTATGGCAGAACTTCTATGTAACTGTTAACATTCCTGCACCTTCTCAGATGTGTGTATCTAAGCTTCTGTACCAAATGAGCCTTATGCTTTGCTGCTGTCTTCAGTAACAGACTCATCTGACTTTAGAAGCTCCAGGAGTCACAAGAAAACACTGGGATTCCAGCAACAGTACCTGTGTCTCTCTGGAAACAAAACTCTTCATGGAACTGATTTTAGTTAAATATCACCTTTAGCCACGTGGACATTTTCAAAAAGGGCTAAAGGGCTTGGGGCTAGTTTGAAGGTGTTTGGCCAATCAATACCTTGGTTACTAGTTAATCACATTGAATGGGAACTGTGGGACTTCTGACCATTTTAAACATCTGGTAGCCATTTTGAGTTCCAGCCTGGAGATATCTATGGCTTCTAAAGTAGGCTACTCTCTTCTTTTACATAGACGCTAGATGGTGACATCTGGATGAGATGTTTGCAGTTGCTTTCTTTGGCTTATCTTTGATAGCATGGCACCCTGGGGTAACCGCACAAGAGAAGGTGAACCAGTAAGTGGTCTTGGGTCCTCAGAAAACTGAGGTCTTCTGCTGGGGATCTAAGACATAGTGATGTTGGCAGCGGGCTGTGTTGGCATGGAAGATAACCTCTTTTCATATTGTTACTAATCCAGTGGAGGAGTGGAGCAGAGGAAAAGCCAGTTAGTAATAATGCGATCAGCCAGTTACCAATTACCACTCAGCAGTGGGGTAACCCAGATCATGTTGTTTGATCTCTCTGATTTCTCAGTTTTCCACTCTTCTACAATTGATGCAGATGTAATAAAATCCTGGAGTTAAAATTTCCAAGTAGCATTTTTTTTCAAGCAACACAAGACAGTTAATCTTTACTTTGTTACCTATAAGAGAAAATGGTAAAAAAAAAATCCTACCTTATCCTGCTTGGGGGGGGATATATTTAGATAATATATGTAAATATTTTGTGGGTGAGAGCAAGACACTATAGAGAGATGTGGCCATGTCATTCTAAACCTTTGCTTAGAGGAGACGCCAGAGGTAACATTTTCCTGTGTCTTGCATTTTGCCTATTCTATTTTGCTGAGATTTCCAACCTGGCTTCATATATTTATATCTCACTATTGAATATTTTATTGTACTTAAGTAGAACTTAATCTAACCTTTGGGACAGCCTTTAAGCACTCTCGGTCTTTCAAACATTGGAGGTTTAAAATAGAGTTATTTTATTCAAATTCTTATTAGTTGATTTAATTTTGAATCATTATTGGTTAAATCAGTGATTCTCACCCTGTGGGTCCTGACCTCTTTACAGGGGTTAAATGACCTTTTCACAGGGGATGCATATTAGATATCCTGCATGTCAGAGATTAACATTATGATTTATAACTGTAGCAAAATTACAATTATGAAGTAGAAACAAAAATTATTTTTTTTCAGTGAGGGTCACCACAACATAAGGAACTATATTAAAGGGGCACAGCATTAGGAAGGTTGAGAACCACTGGACTAAATACTACAGTAAGAGAGATTCCCTTTAAGTAACAGTTCAGAAGAGGAAACATGTTGTACAAGCAGATGATCTGTAGCTTGTATTTAAAACAAATATAGTTTTGGAACATCATAAAATTCTTTGCTAATAATAATTAGAAGGCACAGGCAAGAGGTCGGTGGTGAAGAAAATCTCAGCTGAGATACTCTCAATTATAAAAGCTTATCATCGTAATCCTTTCTGAAAACGAACAGTGTCTTGATGTTTGATGAACTTATCAAACAAGACAGTTCAGTGAAGAGGCAAATTTCCCGGTAAGGCAGAGAGATCCAATTCAGTGCTTTACAAAGTGCTGAGGGAGAAGTCATGGTGCTCGCTGCCAATGCGCCTGACGTTGGTTTTCAAAATAGAAAGTTACAGGACAAAATCATTCTCCTGGGTTCAAATCCCGGTGCTGGCACTCACTATTAATAGTTATTTGATCTTGAACAAATTACATAACTATTCAGGGCTTCATTTTTCTCCCTCACTTGTGAAATGGGAGGAAGATAAGAGCAGGAATTAAATGCCTGAAAATTCCTAGAACAATGGACCAATGCCCCCACTTAGCAAGCATTCACCGAGAGCTGCTCTAGGGATGGTACTGGGACGGCTGCTACTGTGGGTTTTTCCATTTGTTTGGATGGTTGACAGCAATCAGAAAGAAGAAATTTACAATGTGCCAATTGGCATGGGTCTTCTAGATTTATCCAGATCAATTAGAGGCTTCAACTTTTGGTTGTATTTTTAGCAACAGCACTTGTTTTTTTCCCCAAATAAAATTCCACAAGAGCCTTACTGTGGAAGGTGTGTGTGTGTGTGTGTGTGTGTGTGTGTGTGTGTGTGATGTGCCCACACATGTGCATGCCAGTGGGTAATAGTATACATTTGCTTTGTAAGCTTATGATCAACATTTGCTTTTTATCTATCTTGATAGAAATCGGGTTGTATGAGTATAAAATCTTAAAGCCATGGAAGGTTGTTATAATTAGTGGCAAAATCATGATTTTTCTAGTACATGCTTTATACAAGTAATCATTTTCTGGTATGTGTTATTTATAAGGCTTATTAAAAATTGGAAATTCTTTCAATTTATTGAGATTTCATTTCTGGCTAAGAATGCAGCACTAGTGGATATTCCATGTTATTCAGTACACATCTAAATCAATCAAGTCCAGACATTTAGCCTGCGGCTTAAATGTTTAGCTCTTTCTTCTATCACTAAGAGAGGGGGACAATAGTCACCTGTCCTTGTGGGTTTGCCTATCTCTGTTTCAATTCCATCAGTATGTGTCTTTCAAAGCTGTCATTAAAAACATACACGTATGAGTGCGTGTGCACGTGCGCATCACTGCATAGCAGAGAGGATGCTGAGATGGGAACGTCTGCTCTTATCTGGTTTCTTTATTTTATATGTTTAATTCTGTCAGGGCCCTCAGCCCAAAAGATGGTTTCACACACATTCCTGATTGGCCTTTTCTCCTCACTTGTGCTTCCCTGGAAAGATTTTCATAGCCTTACTCAGACGGTAAGCTTCAGCAATCTCTTCAGTGATCCTGAACCTCGTACCACAGACAATGAAGATGGGTCACCTCACATCACCTTGTTAATGATCATCCCTCTCAGCATTGAGAAACGCTTTCATTATCTTAGATGATTATTTTTAATTTGTAGGTTATTTTGTTTAATGGTAATATCATCATTCTTGTTTGCTTATTGCTTGTGTTTGCAATGCTAATGACTATCTAATAATTTATTTTAATTTGTATGACCATATTTTTAAAATGTATCATCATGTAGAAAAAGATGGCTTTGCTTTATTTATTTAATCTAGTTATTTCTGTCTTTCTAAAAGGAGTTAGTTGATTATCCATCATCATCATCACTTTATTTTATCTTGGTGGTTTTGTATTGAACTTGGGGTATTACATATGTAGACAAGCCCTGTTTTAAATGAGCTACTACTCCAGCTCCAGTCTCTGTCTTTTAGTCATAATAATTAGTCTACTTACATTGAATGTAATTATTGGTAGAGGGTGCCTTTGAGTTCATCATCTTCCTATTTCTTATTTGTCCTACAGCTTACTTCCGTATTTTTTTCTTTCTGAGATCATCTCTTAAATTTAGCATCTTATAATTTTAAATGGATAGAGCAACTAGTCTATTTTATTTTTGTTGTTTCTCAGTAAGATTTATAATGTTTAACACAACCTTATCATAGCCTATGTTCAAATGATAGTATATCACTTCTAATATTGTTATTTCATCTGTAAAACTTTCTTTGACATTTATCAGAATGAATTTTTATCGATGGTTTTTTTTAGTTCTTGTCCTGAAAATGGTGGAATTACACAAGGCTTAACATTTAGTCTAATCAACCCATGTTACAGAGAGAAATTTAGTGCCAGGAAGGGGGGGGACTTTTGGCAACACAATTTCTCACCAGGCATTTCATGAACTTGGTGAATTTAATTGTCACTGCATCTTTCTAAACTTGCCTTTGTATTATTCTTCAAATTGAAGACCAGAGAAGAACAGAGCAATTTGACTCACTCCTCAGAGGTGTGAGGTAGCACAGGCAGCCTTCTAGCCTCTGGACCGACCTGATCACCAGAATGATCACCAGTCCCTCACATCAAGAAAATAAAACAAATTACCTCTTCAAAAATAAGCCCTTGCTTTGATAAGCATGTCATAGGTTTAGCTTGGAGTTAAGATAACTCAAAGAGTTCCATCCTATCATTTATACTGATAAAAACTAGAATTTGTCAGGGGGACTGGAGAAACATAAGTGAGGACCTCAATCTCAGAGGGAACACAACCCCCACCCAAGCATCCAGTGGAATCATCACTTCTTTAATAGACCCCTCATGTCATAGATGCCAAGGATGTGTCAATCACGCTTCTTCTTTTTATATTATTGCCATTATGGGTATCAAAGTGTGTTTGCCCAAGTGTCTGGGCCAGAGCCATGTGAATGTTCTCAGCAGTCATCAAGATGACTGGGATTAATATGGTCTTCTAATTAGCATATGCAATTGGGTGGCTGTGACTCAAAAGTGAGTCACAGTAATATAGAGATTGATATTCAGAGTAACTAACTCTAAGCGAGGCATCCAACAGCACTGGCATGAATTATGCAGAAAAGCTAGCCTGGTACATGCTTAGAACTAAAAGTGTGTGTGGAATTCTATGTGACTTGCAGATACTTGTTTGTATTGTTCATTTGTTTTTCAGTAAGTAAATATCCTCGATATAGTAGTGGCTAGGTAGTAAAATAAGCAAATGATATCCTGATCCTCCTGTAACTTACAGGCTGTGGTGATTTGAATGTGAAGGATTCTCCTAGGCTCCTGTATTTGAATACTTGGTCCCATGTTGGTAGACTGCTTGGGAGATATTAGAAGGCATGGCCTTCTTGGAGGAGCTGTGTCACTGATGGCAGTCTTGGAGATTTTCAAAGCCCACACCATTCCCATTTGCTTTCTCCATCTCTCCATCATGTCTGTGGATCATGATGCTAAGTACTGAGCTTAACATAGGCTCCAGCACTATGCCTGCCTATCTCCTGCTATGTTCCATGCCTTTGTCATTATGGTCATGGCTCACCCATTGAAACTGTGAGCCCAATGAACTCTTTCTTCTGTGAGTTGCCTGGGTCATGGTGTCTTAGCACAGCAATAGAAAAGCAAGTCATGGACTCAGACAGCAAACATGCAAACACAAAGTTTCATTTAAAATTGTGAAGAATTCTATGAAGGAGTCAACAGAATGCATTGACAGAGAGAAAGGGATCTAAAGATGAATGGGTTGGGTGACATTCTCTGTAGAGGAAGGGTCTACACTGAGATACGAAGCTTGGGAGAAGCTGGGTGAAGAGTGTGATGTGGAGAGATCAGCAGGTGCTATGCTCCTGTCATGGGAAGTAGTTTGTGATGAACATGGACTGGAGGAAGTTGTCAGGAATGCAGAGAATTGTGCCATAGATAAATGTCAAAATGGTGGG